CTGCGCCAGGCTCCCCGTGAGTGGCACGACACTCTCCGTGCTACGCTTGCTGACCTGCAGTTCTTTCCGTCTTCCGCGGACCCTTCACTCTTCGTTCGTGCTGGCCAGACTCCGTTCTACATCCTTGTTTACGTCGACGACCTGGTCTTTGCCACAGCTGACAGGGACGCACTGGCCTCCGTGAAGGCAGAGCTGCTGAAGAGACACACGTGCACTGACCTTGGAGAACTGCGCCGTTACCTTGGCTTGCAGATCTCCAGGGACAGAGCTGCGCGCACCATCACCCTGACTCAGTCACACTTGGTGCGCCAGGTCCTTCAGAGGTTCAGCCTTCAGTTCTCCTCTGCACAGCCCACCCCTCTGCCTGTAGACCACAGACTCTCCGCTCCAGTGTCTGAGGAGTGGTAGAGCCCAGCGGCCCCTACGCAGAGCTGGTGGGTTGCCTCATGTACCTGATGACTTGCACTCGCCCAGATCTCGCATACCCTCTCAGCATCCTGGCTCGCTTTGTGGCCACAGGCAGACACCGACCACAGCACTGGTCTGCCGCTAAGAGGGTTCTGCGTTATCTTGCTAGTACATCGGGCATGGGGTTAGTGCTAGGAGGACGCAGGCCAGTGGTCCTTACTGGACACACAGACGCTTCGTGGGCAGACGACGCTGAGACACTCAGGTCTACCAGGGCTACTGCTTCAGCCTTGGCTCAGGTGCCGTCTCGTGGAGAGCTACCCGCTCCTCGTCTGTTGCGCAGTCCAGCTGTGAGGCTGAGATCTACGCTGGTGCCATGGCGGCACAGGAGCTCCGCTGGCTGACCTTCTTGCTCACTGACTTAGGTGAGCGGCCTAGCTCTGCCCCGGTCCTGTTCACTGACAACAGGGCCATGATCCTCCTGTGCCAGGAGCCTCGACTCGAGGGCAGAGCAAAGCACATTCAGCTGCGGTACTTCCTCCTGCGTGAGCTACAGCAGCGACGTCAGGCTCGCGTAGTACACTTGGCCTCAGGTGCCAACACGGCTGATATCTTTACGAAGGCGCTTGCGCCTAAAGATCATCAGCGGCACTGTGTACAGCTTGGTCTAGTTCCTGTAGCCTCTCACTTGCTAGGACCTTGACTTTGTACTGTCCTTTATACGTATACTCAGACTGGACTTGTGTCCTCTCCCAGTGGTGGACTAGTAGTGCCACCCTGCTCTTGTTCTTGCCTTGTTTGTACTCCTTCTGACTGGTCTCTCAGACCCTTGTCTCAGAGGTTGGACTAGTAGTGCCGCCCTGAGCTGTTTGTTTAGGGCATTCCCTATGCAGTCTAGGGGGTGTGTCAAACATGTGTATTTGTCATGTTTGTATAGACTGTATAGGGTCGCCTCTTAGAGAGTACAACACTTAGGTATATCTGTGTGTACTCTCACTCTATCTATCATTCACTTCTCAATTTTGATACTCGTGATACGAGAACAGCCGTGTACAGTTCGCTTCCCCTCCCCCAAAGTCGTCACTGTTTGCGAACTGTTGATTGCAAGTTGTTGGGTTTCTTTTGCGTCGCGAGCAACATAAAATTTTCGCAGAGAAATAGTTTTCGCCAGGGGAGCTTTGCGAAATTGGTTTCGCCCAGCGTTTTTGGCACTGTTTTCATGGTCAGTAAACATGGATTTTTACCATTCTAGACTCGGGCTTTAACAGCAGGGAATCTGGATAGGCTGGATGAAGCAGGGAATCCGGATAGGCTGGATGAAGCAGGGAATCCGGAGGCTCAGGAGGCGTGTCAGATGTGCGACATAGGAAGTGTGCGTGTGGTGGACTGTGGATGGTAGATCAATGCTGTCATGTGCACTCATGCGAGGCCTTCAGTGTAGGTATTGCTCTTTAATAGTAGCACTTGCTCAAAGAGGCACAATACATTGGAAGAGCTATGAACAAGGCTACGTATAGTACCGTAATCTCCCGGCATGATGACCCTAGGTCTTATGGAAAATTCATTGAAAATCGTTTGGGTGGACATTTTAAAGGATGGTAATTAATAAGACCCATGTGCATTTATTTATTACGTAAGGTGTTTGTTTGTCACATGTTCTGGTATTCCAATTGAGGTTATACAGGGGGTCCTTTGTTCCAAACGGGGGAAGTATATTCTTAGCCTCGTTTTGTCCGAGCCATCTAGATGGACACGCGTCGGATTCTTAGCATCGACGGCTGCCAACTTTACAGCGCTGGCGAATCGCGCGGGCTTCTTGACTGCCAGCAAGAGTCATTACATGGAGGGGAGAGGTTCGTTCACGAAGTCTCCCCACGGTCCACCCCATTGAGAGGTTTCTTGTGTCAGGCAGGCATGACTCCCTCCATCGTCGTGTCTCGCTCCGCCTCACGTCCCTCTCGTTTCCGTCTTCACAGAGGGGTAGTCGCTGCGACAAGTCTCATTTCCTGTTTTTCAACCAGGGTTTTTAGCAAGCTTGATGTTCCAGGAGATGGCATCTCTCCCCTCTCTCTCTGCTAAGTGTGGGATTTTTCCAAGCAACAGCCATGTCGGCTCTGCAAATGCTCATGCAGAATCGCGTATGTAGGCACACCCGTTCGCACAGCAGACCGTCCAGCTTTTCAGCAGCACCTTCACCGCCCGCACCTCCAGCGCCACCTGCGCCGCCTGCTCCCCCGCGCCTCCCGCGCCGCCAGCGCCTCCTGCTCCTCCGGCTCCTCCTGCGCCATCGCCTACGTTTGCTGGCTTTTGGGAGCCAACAAATGACGAGGACCTCACCCCCCGTGAGCGTGTGCCCAACGCAGACGAATCCCCTCGTCCCTCCTTCCCCGTCCCTCAATTCCCGCCAGACATTCTGCGTCACGACACCGAGGCTCGGCGTCCACTTGACGCATGTGCACCAGAGCCTCGCGCCAGGAGGACAAAGCACCGCCGCACATCGCGCACCATGGCCGAGAAAATCGGCTGGCTGCACAAGATGCGCGACGAGGGCTGACCATTCGACGGGTGGCGCGGGAAGCGGGTGTCGAGCCGGTGAGCATTCGGCGCTGGCTGAAGAAGGAAGAGGACATGACGCACGCCTCGGGCTCCAGGCGTAGGCTTGTGGGCGCAGGGCGACCGTCGAGGCACCCCGACATGGAGCAGGCTGTCTATAGAAAGTTCCTGAGCCACCGCTCCCGTGGCCTTGCAGTCCCGATTTCCCTCCTTCAGGTTTGGAGCCGGCAGTTCATGAAGACTCATCATCCCGAGGTGGACTGGAGGGCCTCACCTCATTGGACCTTCAGGTTTCGCGTTCGCTGGGGTCTCACCGTGCGAGTCAAGACCAAGATTGGTCAGCGTTTGACCCGCGGTAAGCCGACCTCTCTCATTCGCGCCGAGTGTTCTAGAATGTTTTTTAATCCCACTGCATGCCGTATGGTCGTGGAATAACATGGCGTATTCACCCCTACCTTACTCTTCCGCGTATTTTTTGTTTCCACTGGTAGATTGCAAGCCAAAGAGCGAAAGCTTTTGGCGCTTCGTCCGGAAACAGGTGCTGGAGAGCGGCATCGACCCATGGAACATGATCAATGCAGATCAAACTCCAGTGTTCCTGGAGATGCCTTTCGAGCGCACACTTCACCATCGGGGGGATCGGACTGTACAGATTCGGAGCGCCGGGTATGAGAAGGAGAGGGTGACGGTGATGTTGGCGGTGACAGCGGACGGCCGGAAACTGCCTCCCATGGTCATCTTCAAAAGGAAGACGATCCCTAATATTCGAGCACCACCTGGTGAGTTTTGCTTCATGACAGCCTATTTTGTCTCCCTAGCTGTTTCCCCCTTATTATTCCTAACAGTGTGCGTGCATTACTGTGCAGGTCTCCTCATTCGAGCCCAGGAGCGAGGCTGGATGGATGGAGGCCTCGTGCAAGATTGGGTGCAGCACGTGTTGCTGCCCTTCATCCGCCCCCCACAGGTGTCTCGAGGAGCAAGACACTGCTTGTCCTGGACTCCTACCGTGGGCACCTGACGGACGGCGTGCTTGGCTCCTTCAGGTGGCACAAGATCACCCCCGCAATCATCCCTGGCGGCTGCACACCCCTGCTGCAGCCGCTTGACGTCGTCATCAACCGCGCCTTCAAGGCGGGCGTCCGGCGGTTCTACAACGACTGGTTCGCCACAGAAGGCATTGACCTGCTGACGCCCGCTGGTGAGCCTCTCTCATGTTTGCTGGTATGGGAGTGCCTGCCCTGTTTAACTCACAATTCAGGAATCTCACCTCTCTGTCTTCCTCTTGATTGCTTACTTGAGCAGGCAATCTGAGGAAGCCGCCGCCAGAGTTGGTCCTGCGCTGGATCTGGAACTCCTGGGACCTTGTCCCCGAGGACATCATTGTCCGCGCGTTCAAAACGTGCGGCATCAGCAACAACCCCGACGGGAGCGAGGACCACCTGGTCCTTGCTCACATGCGCGACGCTGCCCAAGTCGAAGTGCACGATGACGTGCATGCTGCCGGGGCTGTGGAAGAGTGGATCAATCCACTCTACGCGGAGGCCGAGCAGGAAGACGAGGGGGAGGAGGCGAGGAGGAGGGGGATGGGCAGATGGCTGAGGAGGAGGAGGAAGAGGCAGAGGAGGCAGCAGCAGCAGCGGCAGCAACATCGGCAGAAGCAGCGGCAGAAGCGGCATCAGCAGCGGCAGACGAAGAGGCCTCAACAACTGAGTCTTGGAGTTCCCATGGCGAGGTGGACGTCAACAGAGCCTGGGACATTGAGTCCCTTCAGTAGTGGTAGCTAGTAGCAGTTCGATGGATGTGTACCGTATCAGTAGGTTCGATGAGTTGGTCTAACATGAGGTGTGCTGCCGTGGATGTGCAGTGCCTAGGACTCCCTAAGGCAGTATGTAGTGTAGGTAGGATGCAATTGGCATGAAGCAATAGTACCGGTACCGGTAGGACCGTCCTAACTAATGATGTGGAAGTTGACTTTGTAGTGCATGACGCATTTTGAAATTGAGCAAAAACTGCCATGAAAACCATTTAAAACTGAAGGGGGGGGGTCCTCAAATGATTTACCCCAAACAGCGGGTCCTCACAATCCCTTTACGATATTAAGACCCATGGTCCGGAAAAAAGACCCAGAGTCCCTTTTTCGGGGGGTAATCATGCCGGGAGATTACGGTAGGTGAGCCACATGTGAGCAACAAGTCATGGCAGCGACTCAACATCCACATGAGCACCACAAGTACCAGTACCGGGTGATGGGTAGCCTCCAGCATCCACCAAGCACTAGCAACACCGGGTCTCGGTGGAAAAGGCGAGGGTGAAGTGGCAGCAGCCGGGCAGGGAGGGCAGGGCAATGGACGAATGCATGCATGACAGCTGCCCATGCACTCAGCTAAGAAGCTCTCGCATGCGCAGCAGCAAGTGGTGGCATGAGAGTGAAGTGGCAGCAGGTGGGCAGGGAGGGCACGGTCAGGCATGTATGCATGCTAGCTGTTCATGCACTCGTCTCTGCAGCGGTGGTAGCAAGAGCAGCAGCAGCAGCAGCAGCAGCAGCAGCAGCAGCAGCAGCAGCAGCGGTGGTAGCAGCGGGGAAGGTGAGGGTGAAGTAGCAGCAGTTGGGCAGCGAGGGCAGGGCGAGGCTGGCCATGCGATGGGCGAAGGGCATTCGAAAGGGGTTCAGGCGGACCTGCCATGGGGGTGTGGGGCATGCGAGGAGATGGGGTGCGTGGCATGGGAGGAGAATAGGACAGACAGGTGGGCAAAGGGGTTTGGATGCATGGCAAGAGGGCAGGCCATGTGCAATAAAGAAACAGAGAAGGGTTTGGCTACCTTGTTCATTACCTTGCGACGTAACATGTATGAGACGAATCATACCTCGTACAGCAGCAGGCGCATGCAGCCGTAACATGTATGAGACCAATCATACCTCGCTAATGACTGGCTCCAACGGAGCACTAGCTGAGTCTGCCTCTACTGCTCCCTCTGCTTCCCTCCGCAGCTCTCCAGCCAGTGAGCAGAGCGCCTCTCTGGCCCTCTCTGCAGCCTCGAGGCTGTAGTCCGTCACGAGCGCTGGCAGACGTAGGCGCAGCATGAGGACCTGCAGGGGGGACGGGAGGAGTGCCATGGAGAATGCCATGGAGAATGCCATGCAGAATGCCATGCAGAATGCCATGTAGAATGCCATGCAGAATGCCATGCAGAATGCCATGCAGAATGCCATGCAGAATGCCATGCAGAATGCCATGGAGACAGCGGGGGTGAGTGAGCGCTCGGACGAGCGCAGGCAGGCTGCAGCAGAGCATGCGCGCGTGGAAGGGAGGAGAGGGGAGGACGGGGGTGAAGGGATGTCATAGGAGGAAAGGAAATGGCTGAAGGGCAAGCAGCGGGACGGGCAACGGTGGGGCAACGATGGTGATTGGTGGGAGGAGGGGATGGAGGGTCAATGAAAGCAGGAGAGAATCACGCAACCTGGGTGCCGCGCCTTGTTCCCCCTCTGCTGGCAGGCACTGCCCTCCTCCCCCCTCTGCTGGCACTGCCCTCCTCCCACCCCAACTACCCGTGCCTCCCACCCCAACTACCCGTGCCTCCCACCCCAACTACCCGTGCCTCCCACCCCAACTACCCGTGCCTCCCACCCCAACTACCCGTGCCTCCCACCCGCCCAAGCGGCCCTGCCCTCTTGCGCTCACCAGGGTGTCTCGCCAGGAGGGGAAGGCGGGCAGGCCCGCATTGGGGAGGAAGAGCAGGGAGGGGGTAGTGGCAGGGGCGGCGCTGGGGGAGGGTGACTTGAGTGCTGAGCGCGTGGAGGGCGAGGGGGGGATGCTGGTCAGTGTGGCGGTGACCGGGGTGCCTGCTGTGGTTGGTGCTGCCAGGTGGACAGAGGTGCGGCGCTGGAGGCAGGGCAGCTGGCGAGGGAGGGCAGCACGTGGTGGTACAGGCCCGGTGGAAGTGCACAGCTATGGGCCCTGCTGTGCCCGCTGCTGTGGGCGCTGCTGTGGGCGCTGCTGTGGGCGCTGCTGTGGGCGCTGCTGTGGGCGCTGCTGTGGGCTCTGTGCGTGCAGCTGATGGGTTTGGGAGAAATGCCTGGCGAGGGCTGGGGGAAGGGCTGGGCGCACTCGCTTTGACCGCACATGCTACCAGTGCGCTTTTCTCTCTGACCTGCGTTCACAGAAACGCCTTGCATGAGAGATTGCTCTGCCTGCCGTCGCTTGGTACGTTGTGGGTCGGCAGGTTGTGGATCGGCAGGTTGTGGCTCAGTCGGTTGTGGTTCAGCAAGTGGTGGCTCGGTCGGCTCAAAGACAGGAGGGTGGTGAAGCAGGACGCACTTGTTGTGCCTGGCGAGCAGGGGAGAGGAGAAGCGGAGAAGAGGAGAAGAGACAAGGGAGCATGCGGTAAGATGGCCCCTGTGGGGCACCAAGGGATATGCAACAAGAAACGAGGGCTGTGCTGAACCTGCTGCTATGGCTGCCTGCCTCTAAGGCAAGGCTGCCTGCGCGTGTTCGTACACCAGCAGAGCTAGGGGGACTTCATCCCTTGCAGCCCATTTGAATGCAGCACACGCTTGCCAGCCACCCCCCTCAAAGTCTCTCCTGAGATTTCCAACATCCACGTCTCACAAGTGTGCTGGAATGCTGGGGCCAATGAGGTGGAGACACGTGTCCACTGCTGGCAGCAGTAGGCGCAGCTCAGCCAATGATGCGGCCTCTGATGCCTCCCTGTCCGCGCCTGCAGGTGGAAATGCGTGGGGAGGGATACGGCAAGAGGGAGGTGTGCGGCGGTGCAGTCGGGAGGGCAGGGCAAGAGAGGGGGGGGTTCTGAAGGAACGTCTTTTGAGGCGCCTCAAAAGAGGGGGTTGTGAAGGAACGTCAGCCCAGTCTGGTGCACACCTGTGCGCCCATGGAGGTGCAGCAGCGAGAGGCGCGGGCAAAACGTGTGGAGGGCAGCTGGTGCGAAAGGGGAGGTGAAAGGAACTGGAGGAGATAGGTGGGATGGTAGATGGCGATTGGGAACTAGTGGGATAGACACAGAGAGAAAAGCAGTGATTGGCACACCTAGAACATGGATGCACACGGAGAGCTGATTGCCAGACCCGCACTCCTGGCCTTGATGCTGCTCATGCTGCTCATGCTGCTGCTGCTGCCTTGCTGCAATGTGCGCCCTGCTCCGCCCCCCTCTCTCCGCCCCCTCCCACATGCAGCGCCTGAAGGGCTGTCCGCCCCCTGAGGGGGTGCGCCCCACGCCATCAGCCATGGCAGCAAAGTGGAGGAGGGAGGGCGGGAGGAGGCGGAGGGGCGGGTTGGAGGAGGGAGTGCAAGGGCGGCGACGATGCTGAGGGGCTGGTGGGGAAGAGACGGAGGGCGTTGGTGGGGTGGTGAGCAGCTGGAAAGAGGGCGAAAGGTTAGGAAGCCACCCATTTGAGAGCTTAAGAGGGTTGAAAAAAAAAACTCTTCTATTGCAGACGATGGGATTTGACACGTGCCCATCAGTTGCATGTGGTGCACGGGGTCGCAGCAGCCATACCCCATACACCCCCGTGGCCTCCCACACAGTGTGCAGCAGCCATACCCCCCATACACACAGTGTGCAGCAGCCATACCCCCCATACACACAGTGTGCAGCAGCAGCGCTGCAGGCGACTCCAGGGGAAGGCGCCTCCACAGGTAGTAGTGGCGCCAGGAGAGAGGCGCGAAGGGGAGAGGGGAAGGGAGCGGGCTGTGTGGTGCGGAAAGAGGTTGGGGTGGGGCGGTCAGACGGGGCGCAAGGGGCGTGTGGCGGAGTTCGTCTCTCCTCCACGGCTGGTGGCAGCTCACGCAAGGCTGAGCAGTCTGCCAAGGCCGGATGGGAGGAGAGAAGAATGGAAGGAAGCTCGTGGTGGCGACTAGAGGACTGGATTGGGTAAGACATTTGGCTGAGGAGGAGCAAATGTTTGTTTGGAAGCAATGATTTCGTGAAGATAACTACCATGTTCTGATACCAAACAAAGGAACAAGTGGATATGCCGTTCTCTCTATCTTTTCCCCCACTCTCTGCCCGCGTTTACCGGAAAGCCAAGGAAGAGGAGGAACGAACGGACAGGAATAAAATGTTGCAGAGTGGAGCAAGACGAACAGTTAAAAGCGGGGAGGAGGTGACGTCTTACAGACCGCAGAGGGCTGCGTATGCACCCCACGCGTGCAGGTGGCGAGAGGCGAGGAAGGAGCACATGGTGTGCTGCCCTTGCTCCACCTGCGAGAGACGGGCATGAGTGGGGAAGGTGAGGGAGGCGTATGGACCCACCCCAGGCATGCAGGGGCGGGATGCGAGGATCAGCTGCTCTTGCACGGCGGGGAACACCATCAGCCGCATGAGTGACTTTTGAGACGACTCAAAAGCCACCGACGGATATTGAATGTCACACGAGACATTTGAAGATCGGCGTGCTACAATCATGTGGAAGCTTCCGAAGCCTACAGGAGATATTTTAGTTTCAGCTAGAAAGTGTTAGGTGTAGCTACACTTATTTCACTTTCTCTAGCCTAGAGGTTCGGACTCCGAGAATTCCCTCGAGCCGCATTTTGGGCTTGGGAGGTTCACGAGCTCCTGCCTATTTAGCCTTGCTCATTTGCTCTTTTGTGTATGGTCTGATGAAGGCAGCCACCTGCCGAAACTAGTTACCATCACTTTTGCCCTACAAATTCACAAGAGTTTTTTCTGAGCAAGAATGTTTCTAAAAACAACAGTGTTTTACAGCCCGCTGCCACGTATGGCTAAAACCACCACCAAGTGCTGTTCTCTGAGGGGAACAACATCAGCAGCATGAGCCGCATGAGCAGCATGAGCCGCATGAGCCGCATGAGCAGCATGAGCAGCATGAGCAGCATGAGCCGCATGAGCAGCATGAGCAGCATGAGCCGCATGAGCCGCATGAGCAGCATGAGCAGCATGAGCAGCATGAGCAGCATGAGCCGCATGAGCCGCATGAGCAGCATGAGCAGCATGAGCCGCATGAGCCGCATGAGCAGCATGAGCCGCATGAGCCGCATGAGCCGCATGAGCAGCATGAGCAGCATGAGCAGCATGAGCCGCATGAGCCGCATGAACAGCATGAGCCGCATGAGCCGCATGAGCAGCATGAGCCGCATGAGCAGCATGAGCAGCATGAGCAGCATGAGCAGCATGAGCAGCATGAGCCGCATGAGCCGCATGAGCAGCATGAGCCGCATGAGCCGCATGAGCCGCATGAGCAGCATGAGCAGCATGAGCAGCATGAGCCGCATGAGCCGCATGAGCAGCATGAGCCGCATGAGCAGCATGAGCAGCATGAGCAGCATGAGCAGCATGAGCAGCATGAGCAGCATGAGCAGCATGAGCAGCATGAGCAGCATGAGCAGCATGAGCCGCATGAGCCGCATGAGCAGCATAAGCCGCATGAGCAGCATGAGCAGCATGAGCAGCATGAGCAGCATGAGCAGCATGAGCAGCATGAGCAGCATGAGCAGCATGAGCAGCATGAGCCGCATGAGCCGCATGAGCAGCATGAGCCGATGAGCAGCATGAGCAGCATGAGCAGCATGAGCAGCATGAGCAGCACT